CTATCACTTGAGCCACACTTCCAGTTTGGCTTCTTCCTGGTTAACTGGAGGTAAGAGTCTCTTGGGCTGTTTTGAAACTTCAATCCTTAGTTTTGTCACAGCTTCCTGAATAGCTACGATTATAAGAATAAACCACTGGTGTCTGGCTGCCCAAAAACTTAAATAATACAAAGCACCATAAAAAGCCATATAAGATGAAAACTGTTTCATTGCCACTAGGAGAGGTTCACAGGAATGTCTATCGTAATGTTCTTTGTAATGTTCCAAAATTTAAACTTACAATATTGTAGTTTAAGATGAAAATTATTTTTTAGTATGTTTATTCCCTAGCTTACCTTATAGCTTCTGAATCAATATGTACAGGTGCAATTCGTTCCAACAAAAATTTGACCATCTCTAGAAAAGGATTAGTTGGTTGCTTAGGATTCGCAAGTTTCCGAGCTATTTCTCTCTATAGAAAGAAAAGAGTTACTTTGAGTATAATTTACTTCCATGTTTTTTCCAAATAAAAATACTGTATAAAAAATTAGACTTAAAACCTGCATAAAGCATTTTTCTCTTTTAGACCCACATTAAAATTCATACTTTCAGTAATGAATGGGAAATCTGGATAGTAGAGAACAGAAGGGAATGTGATTTTGTAGTGATTTTTGCTTTTATTTCGTCCCTGAAATTGCTTAGAAAACCTTTTAAATGTATTATTTTTGAAACATATATCCTCATGAATGTTTTCTTATTATTTTAGAATTTGATGATTTTCTTTTAGCAAGTCACAATGTCACATATTTTTGGTTCTAGCTATTTAGCTTCTTGCTTCAGCTCATGAAAAACTACTTGAGACCAACCTGGACAACCATAGAGAGACCTGGCTTCAAAGAAAAGGGTAGGATAGGGAAATACTGAAAAGTTCTAGAGGAAATTGTCCAGGAATAAGTGAGAACTGCAAACTTCTGCCTCTAGAATTTTAATTATTAATAATCTGACCATCAAATTATTCCTAGATATTCCATAAGGAACTGTATCTAGTCTCTGGTTAATTTTTTTTTTTTTTGGACCGGTAGTGGGGCTTGAACTCTGGGGCTTGGGCACTCTCCCTGCGCTCTTCAGCTCAAGGTGAGCACTCTACCGCTTGAGCCACAGTGCCATTTCCGGTTTTCTAGTGGTTTATTGGAGATAAGAGTCTCATGGATTTTCCTGCCTGGGCTGGTTTTGAACCACAATCCTCAGATCTCAGCCTCCTGAGTAGCTAGGATTACAGGCATGAGCCATTGGCTCCTGGCTTTAAATTCTTAATATAGTTAAAAAGTAAGCCATTCTTGTATAGTTAAAACTTTCATTTTTTAAAGAAAGAATCACTTCCTATGTATATTAATCCCTGTCATACATTTTCTCCTTAACCAATTAAAATAATTCCTATGGGGGGGGTAATATTAGTATGTACAATTTACACTAATTTCTCATAAGGAATTCCCAAAGGCTTAACTCTTAGACTGAAGTATCATGCACATCATTCTTACTGAAATACGGAGCAGTGGAAAGAGCAATCAGCTGGGCTCCAGTGAATCATATTATCCTAGCTATTAAGGAGGCTGAGATCTGAGGATCGCAGTTCGACATCAGCCCAAGCAGGAAAGTTGGTGAGACTCATCTCCAATTAATTACTAAAAAGTTGAAAGTGGAGCTGTATCAAGTGGAAGAACATTAGCCTTGAGCATAAAAAAAACCTCAAGGGACACAGCCCAGACCCTGACTTCAATCTCCAGAAACGGCACAAAACAACAACGAAAATCCTAACAAGTATTCCTTCCAATCTTCTCAAGGATATTTAACTACGCTAAATCTTAAGTCTCAAACATCTCAACTCAAAGGCCACCCATGTTCATCTTATATACTTACACCATTTCTTCTGATGCCCAATCTTAACTAGAATGAGTGATGCACTTTTGCATTACCAAAGCATATGATTCTACTAGCATACTTATCACACTGTATTGTTTATCAAAGTATATGTGTGTTTTTGTCATCTCACCTATAAGATGAGTGAGAAACTGTTAACAATACTATCATCTGAAACACTACGTTATGTAATGAATTGTAACAGAATGGACATGTTGGAGGGAGGACATATGATCAAGTGACAATATTTGAACTTCCTAAGAATAATCCTATAGGCAGGTGTCCCTCCTGCCCCAGATAAAATGTAGTTACTGTAGCCCTGGCTAGCCTCAAAATCACTATAAAGAATGTCAAGTTCAGAAATATTTACTTACTGACTAACATGGTATTAAGTGGCACAGATGAAATTCAGATTTAGGACTATCTTACTAAATGTTAAACTTCTTAGAAAACCTTAAAATTTGGAAGTAGCTATCATAGAAAAGCAAAGCAATATAAACCAGCAAGCACAGCTGTCCTTTTATAGAACCTATATGTAGATACATAAAACCTAAAGTCAAAATGAAATATAATATTACAAACCCTCTTGCACAATCATCACTATATACATGCACACACACACACATACCTAGTATGTCTCTATTAATATGCCTTGCTAAAAATAGTTTCCTAAAAATTTTTCAAAAATAGAACTTGGAATAAGAAAGGGAACTAATAGAGTTACGTTCTATAAATTCTATTACTGAATAATGTCCATCTCTCGTGAAGTGAACGAATCCCTGAAAGATGGGATCAAAATTATACAATATTACAGACTAAAATTTGCATTTATGTTTTTCTTCTCCTTACTCTCTCCTCCCTCTTTCTTACTGTGTCGGCCCTTGGGCTTGAACTCAAGAGCTTAGACATATGTCCCTGAGATTTGTTGCTCAAGACTAGCAGCCTCCTACTTGAGCCTCAGAGCCTCAGCTCTACTTCTAACTTTTATGGTTAATTGGAGGTAAGTTTCACAGACTTTCTTACCCAGGTTGGTTTTGAACTGTCATACTCAGATCTCAGATTCCTAAGTAGCTAAGACTATACACATATGCCACATGTGCTTGTTTTTGGGTGCTGGTCCTGAGACCAAGAGTCTGGGTACTTCCCCTGAGTTTTGTGCTCAAGGCTAGCACTCTACCACTTGAGCCACACTTCCACTTCTGTCTTCTTGGTAGTTAACTAGAGATCACAGTCTCACAAACTTGTCTGCCCAGGCTGGTTTTCAATCAGTAGATCTCAGCCTCCTGAGTAACTAGGATTACAGGTGTACAAGTGCCCAGCCTGGCTTGTACATCAGAACAAAGATATGAGAGAAAATACATAACTAACGTTAAGTAGCCCATGGGAAAAGGAAGAATAATGAGAGGTATTCTGGACAAAGGCACGAAGCTGTTTATTTCGTTTTTGGAGAGACTCATGCTATATAGCTTATACTGGCCTCCAACTATTAATGTTCCTGCTTTGGATTATCAGCATGCAATATGGCTGCATTTCCCTGATTTCTAAAACCAGAAAGAACTTCTTGGCACTGTATAACTTATACAATAATTTCAGGATTATATTGGTCAAATCATCTGTTTTACATATTTTACATTTCTAGTCTAACAAATATCACTTGGGTATTTTCAAGCTATTTTACTCTAGAATTCCAACAGTAGGCAGACAAATGGAGAGGAATGGCAAGCAGTCATAATCCACAATGTACATATGTGATAATGGGACTAGACACTTTACAAGTGGGCACGTGGATGATGAAGTCACAATGATGGAGAAGCATTGTACATATAAACAAGCATGTTAAGTTAAAATTCTTACCATTTGAAGATAATTTTAAAAAGTATATGTATATAAGCATGTATGTATAATAAATTTTTCTGTAGGATAATAATATGAAACTCAAAAGCAAAGAGAGCAAATAAAATCTTTCTTTAAATGTTATCAGATGTGGCATACCTATAATCCCAGCTACTTGGGAGCCAGAGAAAAAAATTGTGCCCCAAGGCCAACCTGGACAAAAAGGTAGTGAAGATCCTACCAAACAAGCCACACCAGGTGGGTAGCTCACATCTGTAATCCTAGCTACTCAGGAGGCTGAGATCTGAAGATCATGATTCAAAGCCAGGCCAGGCAGGAAAGTTTTATTTCCAACTAGCCACCAGAAAACTGGAAGTAGTACTGTGGCTCACAGCATTAGAATGCTAACCAGTCTTGAGAAAAAAGAACTCAGGGACAGCACCCAGACCCCTGACTTCAAGCTCCACAAGTGACAAAAAAGACAAAGAAAGATGTGAAGGCATGCTATACAGCAGGCAGAGGTAGGCATAAAATAACTATCCTTCTCTTATTGATCTCTGTAAGCCTGGTGCCAAAATAATATGGATCATGTATGAATACTATAAGGTATATAGTGTAATTCAATCCAGGACCATACATTAGGAAATAGTATAGTATATATAAAATCCTAAGAGATTGTTAGCATATATAGGTGAGAAAAACAAGCTCAAAAAAATTGAGTAACTTACTAAAGGTCACATTGGTAGTAAATGGTAAAGCTGAATTCAAACCTAGGACCCTGTCTCTTAAAATGCTGAATAAATGAACAGATGAAGTTTTCTTTCTTGACAGTTTCATGGTTTTCTACAAAATAAGGAGTCCAAGAACAGAATGAGGACAAAAGTTTACATAGGAATTTGCCTTATCTGTAAGTGAAACCACATACACAGACATTTAGATAGGTAATTTGTTGACAGGTTATTTCATGTCAATACGTAAGAAAATAAATGCATGCACAAACAGCATTTAGAAAACTCTTGCATTCATTCAGTGAGTGTCCACTAGATACAAAACACTTTATCTTGTTCAATTCCTAAAAAGTTTCTTGGGCTTAGGTAAATCTGTTAGTTAGATCTGTAATTGGAGCGTACATAGTCAAGAGTGTATAGTCAAGAGAACTAAGTTGAACACAGATACACGCTTAAGTAACCAAATCCTCACAATTTTGTTTACACAAGCAGTGAATGTAAAAAAGGTTTTAATGAATATTTCTATAACTGAAAGTAAAAATATCATTTACTAACCACACAAACATCTGCCTGTTTGCATGAACAGGTTGGGCTGATAAGTAACTCCAACTGAGACCGCAGTTTCTCATCATCACCAAGAACTTGGTTAAATTTCTTCACAAAATCTTGTGCTTTCCCAGGGTCAGGCAAATTCTCTACAAAATTAAGAATAAAGAAATATTAGTAAAGAAAAACTACTAGCCAAGCACCAGTGGCTCATGCCTGTAATCTTAGCTATTCAGGGCGCTGAGATCTGAGGATTGCGGTTCAAAGCCAGCCCAGGCAGGCTCTTATCTCCAATAAACCACTTAGAACACCTGAAGTGGTGCTGTGGCTCAAGTGGTAGAGCGCTCACCTTGAGCTGAAGAGTGCAGGGACAGCGCCCAAACCCAGAGTTCAAGCCCCAAGACCGAAAAAGAAAAAAAAGAAAAACTTTAAATAAAAAGTAAGCTTCTTTAAAAGTGAAGCGGGGGAGGGAGGGATTGGGAATGTGGCTTAGGGTTAGAGTCCTTGCCTTGCATGCATGAGGCCCTGGATTCAATTCCTCAGCACCATATACACAGAAAAAAGACAGAAAGTGGTGCTGTGGCTCAAGTGGTAGAGTGCCAGCCTTGAGCAAAAGAAGCTCAAGGACAGTGTCTAGCCCAGAGTTCTAGCCCCAGGACTGGCAATCAATCAATCGATCAATCAACATACATTTTTAAAAAGCGAAGGGATAGCCAGACACCAAATGGTTCACACTTGTAATCCTAGCTTCTCAGGAGGCTGAGATAGAAGCCAGCCTGGTCAGGAAAGTCTGTAAGACTTTCATCTCTAATAAACTTCTCAGAAAAAGCTGGGAGTGGCACAGTAGCTCAAGTGGTAGAGCACTAGCTTTGAGCAAAATGCAGCTCAGGGACAGCACGCCTAGACCAGCAAGTAAAAGGGTGATACTATTAAAAAATAATTGTACTTGCTGGGCTCAGGCCTGTTATACTAGCTACTCAGGAGGCTGGTATCGAAGGATCATGGTTCAAAACTAGCTTGGGGCAGAAAAGTCTGTGAGCTTTTCTTAAAAAAAAATTGTGAAAATACCGAATAGAAGGGTTACAATTACATGGGCAAGATAATGAGTACATTTCTTATCAAGCATTGTTGCTTCCTCCTTTGTCGTCCCCCCCACCAAAGTTATAAAGTTTGTTTTTTTGACATAACAACTTGTACATCTCATTGTTGCAATGGGTCCACCTGTATCCTCTTATCTCCAATAAACCACCAGAAAACCCAAAGTAGAGCTGGGGGCTCAAAGTGCTAGTGTTAGCCTTGAGCAAAAAACTCAGGAACAGCTCCCAAGCCCTGAGTTCAAGCCCCACAACTGACCAAAAAAAAAAAAGTACTCATTACTGACTTATGAAGTGGTAACCCTTTTGAACACCACCCTATTACAATAAAATTTTTAAAAATACTAAGCAATTAAAGAGAAAAATCAGACAAACATAAATGCAATCAAGATAAGGATTACATTTCTTTTTTATTACCTTATAATAAGCCCCAGTTGTACAAAGGGGTTTCTATTCAACCAGTCAGTTTTTAAGTATACTCCTTCTCCATAAATGTTACTCCTTCCATCGTACAGAATTGGTTTTTGAAAAATTTCATTCATATTGGATAAATTAGTGGATTTTGATATTCATTATATATTTACTGGTAAATAAATATACTCACTTGCTATAGTCATCAGTTTCCCAAACATGGCAGAACAGTTAGCCTCTGACTGAAATTTAAAACAGAAACAAAAGAACAAGGTGTCATATGCAGTAATAAATTTCTCCAAGAAAAATCAACTCTCATTACTATGCAATGTGGGTCATACTTAAAAATCACAATGTATAAGCCCGGCACTGGTGGCTTACGCCTGTAATCTAGCTACTCAGGAGGCTGAGATGTTAGCCTGAGCAAGAAAGACAGAAACCAAATTTGGTAAACCATGCAGGAAGCTCTGGGTTTGACTCCTCAGTACAACAAACACAGAAAAGCCAGAAGTGGCACTGTGGCTCAGGTAGCAGAGTGCTAGCCTTGAGCAAAAAGAAGCTCAGGGACAGTGCCCCGGCCCTGAGGTTAAGCCCCAGGACTGGCAAAAAGAAAAAAAAAAAAAAAAATGAACACTGCAAATAACCGATGACTTAAACCATTCAGGAACCTACAGTAGGCTGCTTGTGCAAATCCAATAGTTCCCGTACATGACTCCGAAGCATGTTCTGACACTTCCACATTTCATTGAGAGCTCTATAAAGTTAAAAATATAAGCATACATTAATAAAAAAAGAATACATTAATATAACTTTTCTTATTGTTGATATGGAAACACTACTTTTGTACATCCACATAAAAGTTTTTAAGAAACAACTTATTAGGATTTAAGTACAAATACAAGGGTTTTCATAAAAGGAATTTTTTAGTTTTCAGTAAAGGCTGTGCTGGGATTTAAATCCAAAGCCTCATGAATGCTAGGAAAGAACTCTACCACTGAGAGTTCACAAGTCAGTAAGATCTTGCCAGGTAAATAAACAATTTCTTGAAAGTTGTCCTAAACAAAGGCAGCTACAGAGTTCTAGACCAGGAAAGATAAAATGTCTAAATGTGTGGCATATACATGCCTCAAGTACAGAGCGGGAATGGTTGTCTATCAGACAAGAAGCAGAAGGCAAAGGACAGATATAGGGATAATCCTGTATCAAGGGTTTGAACCATGGAAAATAAAGTATCTTATAGTGATGTAGATTCCAGAAAAACACTTATTTTTAAATATAAGTTTATTGTTATTAAGGTGATGCATAGAGGGAATTATCATTTCCAGAAGTCATGTAATGAGTACATTAAAAAAACACTTTAAATGGTTTTTATTTTATTCTCTTTTCTCTATAAACATTAACTTCCTTTTCTCATAGATCTTCTCCATGCATTCAGGGTTACAAAGAGCACCTGTAGAAAGCTATTGTATCTGAATATTTGGGACAGATACATACAGTGGCTGATAAAAACAGTAAACCAGGATTGTTTTTGCCACCAGGAGTCAGAATTATCACTCATTTGCAAAGCTTTAAAATAGTTAACATCTGCTGATGTGGTATATCAGGGATATAAGATTATCTTCACAGAATTTCTGCTAAAAAGATATGATATAGTCTAAGACATGGGTGGGGAAAATCAGTCCACAGGCTGTATAAAGCCCTCTAAATGATCTGGTACATAATGAGAGACAAATATGCTTGTCAGCTGATTGAGACCATTAGCCTGTACTCATATGGCCCTCTTCTGCTGATATAAATGGCCCATGGTTCAAAAAAAAAGTTCCCTACCCCTGGTCTAAGAATAAGGAAACACTGGGAGAATCCAAATTGAGACCATATGACATAAAACAATTGCCTGTCTGCAAACACATCCAAAACACATAAAAGCAAAGCAAAGATTAAACATGGCTCCAGATCAAGAGACTAGAGACATAATAACTAAATATGTAACTACAGGAAGGTGAAACATAAAAAACATTATAATTGCAGCAGTGTTAATTTCTTATTCTTTTTTGCCCAGGTACAGTGGTTCATGCCTAGAATTTCAGTATTTTGCAGACTGTGGTAACAGTATCACCAAGCCTGAGGTCAGTACGGGCTATCTTGAGTTTAAGGTTAGCCCGGGACATATAACAACACACTATTTCTACATATATAAGTAATAATATTTTTCTAATATAAAAAACAAAATTCACATAAGAAAATAAATCAGTCATTTGGAAGTAACTTACTTTACAGCATTTGGATCCAAACTAGCATATAAATAATATAAGCATTTCATTCTTTCTTCTGTTTCCAGGTTGTGGGGAACAAGATACTGGGCAAAAATTTTCTCTACTAACAGTCTAGAAAACAACAAAATAACCCCCCAAAATATAATTAATTTAGAGGCAATAGTCATTTTAACCATTTTAAAGTACACCAGTAGTCGTAGTTACAGGCACATATACAATGATCAGTTCCTTGAGTTGGAAGATTTACAGTTTGTACTGTGGCTTTATTTACACTATCATCTATCATTATGAAACATTTGTTCTAGAATTGTAAAGTATTATTTTGAGTGTGTGTGTATGCGTACGCACATGCACTGCTTCTGGGTCTGAACTCAGGGCTTAGGAGCTGTCCCTGAGATTTTTGCTCAGGACACAGTGTTCTACCACTTGGAGCCACAGCTCCATTTCAGGCTTTTTTGGAAGTTTATTGGAAGCCTGGGCTGGCTTCCAACCTTGATCCTCAGATCTCAGCCTCCTGAATATTATTCTTAAATATAGAAAGTTAGGCTGTCACATCCAATTCTTAGAAGTCTAGAACTCCAATGAATTAGGTAAGACTATATATAAAGGTATGGTTCCAGGTAAAGGTAATTCTCAAGAAACACACTAACTTCCTCCAATTATAATTTGTTCCTTTTCCATCCTGTCATGTAGTAAAAACAGAAGGATTTATTTTCTGTTATTTCCTGAAAAATGTGCACATTGGTTTTTTCTTCCTTATCAACCGTGGAATATTCTTCCTGCTTGCTTTAAATATACTACTCATTATCAGTGGAATAAGAGAACAAAAGCTTTTCATTTAACCAATGGAATATATATCCAGTGATAACTAAGCAATTTCAATTCAATGAAACATTGCAAAGTATTTCATAACAACCAAGGTTATTAGTATAATACAAAAATAGAAACACAAAATGAAAGCAAATCAGTATTTCTTTGATTGGTAGAGATTGTACTGCAAAAATAAATTATCAGTGCTTATTACTATGGGAACTGCACCATGATGCTTTATATTTATTTAATCCACATGAAAATCCAGTGAGGAAGGCATTATTATTTTTCACTTTTATATAAAACAGACACAGGAATTACATTCTAAATTGTAAGGGGCAGAATAAAACTTTAGTCTCTAGTATACCTCCAAAGTCCATGTTTATTTCACTATTAGGTTACTATTCAATCATAAACAGGGTCTTACTTAAATATACAATGTATAAATATGCAGAAATAACTGCTAACTTAGAAACAAATTATTTAAAACTGAAATAGACAACACAAGTGAAAAGCAGATTACATTAAGGTTTTAACCAACATATTAAGACTCACTTGTCATCAATGCTGTTCTGATAATAAATATGTAGAAGTTTGTCCTTTATCCAGCTGACTTTCTCTGCAGCTTCCTTTCCTGCTTCACCATGAAGACAGTATTTTTTATAAAGTTGTGCCAGACCCATCATAGCTTCTTTTCTTACTCTCCACTAGAAAATGTAACGTTCATTAGATAACAAATCTTTATACTAATCTGCAAACACTGCTAAGGCTTCACCAGTTAGAACAAACAATTTTATGTAGAAATATATTGTAGAAGAATATTTTTAAGCAGCTTTTACAAAATTACAAATTATTATCAATGTTCTTACTTAGAAATGAGACTACTTTAGTTTGTATAAATAGTTCTAAGCTGGCATAGAAATTACCAATTTTTTATTTCTCTCAAAGCAACAGTAAATGTTATAGATTATTTCATTTGATTCCCTCAAAAAACATACTGGCCAAGTTTTAGACGTGATTACAAATTAAAAAAATATATACATATATAAAATCACTGCAAATTAGGGCTTTAACATATAGGATGATTTAGTCTGCTTTAGTACCACCCCAGAAGAAGAAAAAAATTGAAGCTGGGGTGATAGCTTGGTGGTAGAGTGCTTGCCTTGCATGCATGAGGCCCTGGGTTCGATTTGTCACCAACACATAAACAGAAAAGGCTGGAAGTGGCGCTGTGGCTCAAGTGGTAGAGTGCTAGTCTTGAGCTGAAGAGCTGAGGGACAGTGCCCAGGCCCAGAGTTCAAGACCCACGACTAACCCCCCCCCAAAAAAAATTCATTATCAAGAATCAAAGCAACAGTTACAAAGAATTTATTCTGTTTACATGGTAGATTCAAAGGGAAATTCAGGTACTGTGTTAGTTGGTAAAATACACTAGGATTCCATGTTGTAAATAGCACAATGAAAGCCGGCCACGGGTGGCTCACGTCTGTAATCCTAGCTACTCAGGAGGCTGAGATCTGAGGATCGAGGTTCAAACCCAGCCTGGGTAGGAAAGACTGTGAGACTCCTATCTCTAATAAACCACTAGAAAACTGGAAGTGGCGCTGTAGCTCAAGTGGTAGAGTACTGGCCTTGAGCTGAAAAGCGCAGGGACAGCGCCCAAGCTCAGAGTTCAAGCCCCACGACGGACCAAAAAAAAAAGCACAATGAAGTCCCTTTATACAATTGGGGGGGAAGACAAAAAAGAGGCAGGCACTGGTGGCTCATACCAGTAATCCTAGCTTACTCAGGAGGCAAAGATCTTCAAAGCCAGCCCCGGCAGCCAAGTTTGTAAGACTCTTATCTCCAATAAACCACCAGAAAACTGAAGTGGCGCAAGGAAGCTCACAAGTTTGAGATCAACTTTGCCTATACAGTAAGTTCAAAAACAACCTGAACAATGTATTAGTATCTTGCTAAAAAAAAAAAGGAATACCTAGGAAACCTAAAGCTCAGAATTTAATAGTAATCTCAGTTTTACATGCAAAAACTGTAGCTAATGTTACAGAATAATGCTTCTGTGTATATGTGTGAGTACACTTATCACACCAGGGCTTACACTCAGGATCTCAACCTATCATTCTGCATTTTGCTCATGGCTGGCACTATGCCACTTCAAACAACTCCACTGTTCTAGCTTTCTGCAGACTAATTGGAGTTAACAGTGTCTCTTATCTATCTGAACTGGATTCAAACTATGATCCTCAGATCTCAGCCACCTGAGGAGTATAGGCATGAGCCACCACATTCCACAAGAATAATGGTTTTTATTATAGAAAATAATGAATTCGGGGCTGGGAAGGTGGCTCAGTGGTAGAGCACTTGCCTTGCATGCCTGAGGCCCTGGGTTCGATTCCTCAGCACCACATAAGCAAAAAAAAGAAAAAAGCCAGAAGTGGCGCTGTGGCTCAAGTGGTAGAGTGCTAGCCTTGAGCTGAAGAGCTGAGGGACAGCGCCCAGGCCCAGAGTTCAGGCCCCACGACCGGACCACCCCCCCCCAAAAAAAGAAAATAATGAATTCATTTAGCAAACAATTTAAACACAGTAAGTTAGGAAAGAATAAAAGTCCTAACACTTTACCCGTTTATCCAGTGTCCTTTCTCTTACGAAGCCAAGTAGCTGGTCATTTACTAAGGCAAGATCTCTTTTGGCAGCTGTTATGATAGTAACAATGACATCATGACGAATAGCTTCTTCTGGATCATGTGATCTAACCTTCAAATATTCTATAAGGAAAAATAAACTTAAGGTAAATGTTAGGTAATTTGTCATGATTCAGAATGACAGAAGAATAATGCTTTAAGTTTTTGTCCAAATTCAAACAGTATAAAATGTTGCACAAAATGAAAATCATTTTAATGCAGTAGTAAGTACTCTGTGATAGTAAGAAACTCCTTATGTCTGCATAGTACAGTTTTTTTGTCTTGTTTTGTTTTGGTGCTGGTACTGGGCTTGAACTCAGGACCTGGGTACTGTCCCTGGGCTATTTTAGTGCTCTACCATTTGAACCACAGCACCACTTATGGCTTTCTTGCTAAATAACTGGAGTCTTTCCTGCCCAGGCTGGCTCTGAAACATGATTCTCACATCTCAGCTTCCTATGTAGCCAGGATTATAGGCGTAAGTCACTGCTATACCAGGCTCATAGTACATATTAAGAAAGAATGCATTTTAGTGAAAAAGTGAAATAACACACTATTTGATTTACAACTAAAAGACGTAAAAAGAAATACAGAAAAATGATAAGAAGTTAGGTGATAAGTGATGATATAAAATTGAGTATTTGGTACTATCCAATAGGTAGGTTCAAATGGTTTAACTGAAGAGTAAATAATTCTAGTCTAATCAAAATGTCATCACTTTTCCAGAAGATAAATGCTTTTTGCCAGTGCTGGATAGTATCCCTGAGCCTCTTTGTGCTCAAAGCTTGCATTCTATCACTTCAGCCAGATCAACTCTCCTGTATTTTTCTGAGTAGTTTATTGGAAATAAAAGTCTCACAGAGGATCCTGCCCATGTAACTGTAACTCCTCTGTACAGTATGCTCACAAATAAAATAAAATTAAATTAAAAAAAAAATCTCACAGAGGGCTGGGAATGTGGCTTAGTGATAGAGTGCTTGCCTAGCATGCATGAAGCCCTGGGTTCCATTCCTCAGTACTACATACACAGAAAAAAAGCCAGAAGTAGTGCTGTGGCTCAAGTAGTAGAGTGCTAACCTGCAAAAGAAGCTCAGGGACAGTGCCCAGGCCCTGAATTCAAACTCTAGGACTGACAAAATAAAAAAATAAAGTCTCACAGACATTCCTGCCCCAGCTGGCTTCAAATTGCTGTCCTCAGATCTCAGCCCTCCTGAGTAGCTTAGGATTATAGGCTAGTGTCACTAGTACCCTGCTTACAATTACTTTTTCTGCTTATTGGTAGATATGACTTGTGAATATGCCAAAAGTCATACGTTCTCAAAGGCTTATCTTCTCATACTATGGTTCCTAAAATATTTTTTAAGTTAATTTTACTGTAAAGATGCTGTACAGAGGGGTTGGATGCATGAGTAAGGCAATGAGCACAGTGCTTGTCAAGCACTGTCTGTTACCCCTTCCCTTGTTGTTCTCTCACTATCCCTTCCCTCCCCCATCTAAAAAATTTCAAATGGCCAAAATGTGAAGATTTAAGTTGTAATTTTATTTTATAAAGATGAAATCATTTCCCATTCCATAAAAAATAATTATTTGAAACTATGCAGGGCAAGAGCAGCTGGCTCACGAGTATAATCCTACTCGGGAGACTAAGATCTGATGATCCCAGTTGAAAGCCAGCTTGTGCAGACAAATGCATGAAACTATTGTTTCCAATTAACCAGCAAAAAGCTGAAAGTTGAATGTGGTTCAAGTGGTGGAATGCCAGTCTCAAGTGAAAATGCTATACAAGAGCATATCCTGAGTCCAAGCCCCAGTAGCAGCACCAAAAGGAAAGAAGGAAAGAGAAGGGAGGGAAGGAGAGGGGATAAGGATTAAATCCTATTTAGAAACTGAAGTTAAATCACAGGGGACATTTAAATTTTATTTTGGCAGGAGAGATCAAGGTAACATTGTCCAAAAAAAATAATCATTCCCTGACTTATGTAACTACAACCCCTCTGTATACCACTTTCATAACAATTTAAAAAAAAATAATTTATTTTGGGTTTTTTTTTTGGGGGGGGGAGGGCTGGTCGTGAGGCCTGAACTCTGGGCCTGGGTTCTGTCCCTCAGCTTTTCAGCTCAAGGCGAGTGCTCTACCACTTAAGCCACAGCGCCACTTCCGGCCTTTTTTTTTCTGCTTATGTGGTGCTGAGGAATCGAACCCAGGGCCTCATGTATGCAAGGCAAGCGCTCTACCACTGAGCCACCTTCCCAGCCCTGGGGTTGTGTTTATAGCTCAGTGGTATTTTGTCTGGCATGTACAAGTCCATGGGTTATTTTTGTGATTAATATGTGTAATAAACTACCAGGTAACTCAGGTAACTTACCTGTAAGGTCCTTTGCTAAATCTGGATGATTCATTAAACAGTGACTGGCAAATTTTACACTTTCTAATCTCACAGGAACATGAATGTCGTTAAATCTACATAGAGAACATAAAAGTTATCGTCAAATAAGATAATCCAATATGTAAATGTTTATAACAAAATGTTATGACAGCTAATATGCTCTGATGAAAGAATATAAAGTACAGAAGTAAACAAAAATATACATAACTTAAAAAGTATTTGAAAAAATTGAATTTACCATGCTAAAACCAGTAAAAATCAGAATATTATATAACCCCAACACCAAACTAATTTTGTAGACCTAAAATGCCGAGACCTTTTCATTTATACTAAAAACAAGAAAAATTCAGAACACAAAATCAGTCTGAAAAATGTTTAAGAGAAAAGAATTCAAAAATTTGGGTATAAAGCAAACCTTAGCTGGGCACTGGTGGCTCATGCCTGTAATCCTAGCTACTCAGGAGGCTGAGATCTAGGGATCATGGTATGAGGCCTGGAAAGGAAGGTCCATGAGACTTTCATCTCCAATAAAGTATTCAAAAAAAGCCAGAAGTGGCACTGTGTTTCAAGTAATAAAGTGCTAGCCTTGAGTCAAAGAAGTTCAGGGACAGAGCCTAAGCCCTGAGTTCAAACCCTGGGACCAGTACCAGGTTAAAAAAAAAAAAAAAGAAAAAAAGAAAACCTTATATAAAAGGAAGATCCAGAAGTTCAAAAGGGACTATACAAAAGGGTGAACCATACTGCCTTCACCACAAAAATTTAATCTGGACAGGACCAACTTATAGAAGAATACTCTTTTAAAGATCTGGTATAAGAATCCAATGAATAGGAAACACAATGTGCAGTTATCTAATAATGCTAAGTCTATTAATTCAGATTTGAGATAGACTGTACAACTTTTGAATGTATTTACTAATGGCAAATTACATTGGGCTAGGGTGTAATTCAGTATTGCACCATGTTCTCAAAAATGCGTGGCCTTGGGTTCAATTATAACTCTAGTAGTAGGGTAATAATGTGATTCTAACTGAATAGAAATATTTCTGTTTTTTAAGTGATCTCATAAAAATAACCAAATAGCCAGGTAAAGAGGTTCAAGCATATAATTCCATTTATTTGGAAGGCAGAGATCAGACAGAGTAGCTGAGCGCAGTTGCAAGTGCCTCTTATTCCAAGGTAGGGAGAAGCAAAATAATCATAGTGGCACACACCTGTCATCCCAGCATCAGAAGAAAACACACGGAGGGCAGTACTTCAGGTCAGCATGGCCATAAAGTAAGGTCCTAACTAAAAATCTGTATTTTTAAGCAGAGTGGCTCCAAAATATAGAAGCCTGAATTTTCTTACCGTCCAAGAAAACATTGCCAAAGAGGACGATTTTGAGTTGCCAAATCAGAATCTTTAGAGCCAAACAATTTTGCTAAAAGTCGAACAACAGCTAATCTTTCTTCTCCATCATTGCTCTACGAAGTAAAAAGAAAGTAAATGAAGCCAAATTTACACTATTCAGATTACAAAAAAGGAAAAACTTTCCAATAGACCTAACCTTGCAATTCTGGTTATAATGTTGACAACTTTAATATATCATATGTGTTTTATTTACTACCAGAAATGTTTCCATGTTAGATCATCTGGTTCTTTGGTATTATCTTACAACAAAAATTCTGTCAAGGACAAAGCTACAAATAATTCTTTTTATTTCATTGTTCATGTGGCTTGTACTCTGGGCCTGGGTGCTGTCCCTGAGCTCTTCAGCTCAAGGCTAGTGCTCTACCACTTGAGCCACAGCTCCACTTCCAGTTTTCCGGTGGTTTAACTCAAGCGGTTGAGTGCTAGCTCAGGGACAGTACCCAGGCTGGGGTTCAGTCCCCAGGACAGGCCAAAAAAAAAAAAAAAAGTAAACACATACCCAAGCCAAGCGCCAGTGGCTCACGCCTGTAATCCTAGCTACTCAGAAGATTAAGGTCTGAGGATCATGGTTCAAAGCCAGCCCAGGCAGGAAAGTCCATGAGACTCTTATCTCCAATTAACCATCAAAAAACCAGAAATAGAGCTGTGGCTCAAATTATAGAGCACTTGTCTTGAGCTGAAGAGAACAGGGACAACACCCAGGCCCAGAGTTCAAGCCCCATGATCAACAAAAAAGAGGAGAGAAGAGGGGAGGAGAAGGGAGGGAAGGGAAAGGATAGGGGAGGGGAGGGGAGAAAAAAGAGTCTCATGGACTTTCCTGCCCAGGCTGGCTTTGAACCACGATCCTCAGATCTCAGCCTCCTGAGTAGCTAGCTACGATTACAGGCATGAGCCACAAGCTCCTGGCTGAAAAAAAATTCTTAAACGCAAAATGTTATTCATTTATTGATAGTATTAGCCAATGAATGCTGCTAGGTTACAAAACTCCAAGGAATCTAACTTCTCTGGATGCTGGAAGTAGATTATGTATACAACCTGTGTCTAATAGCACATACAGAGAAAAATCAATGGAAGTTTTATTTGAAGGATTTTCTAAGCATTTTTAATGTTCTCAAAGGAGTACAATCAAAGATTCTGAATTGTAACAGGCTGAGTTTATAGCGTTTGGAAATAAAACTGAAACCACCACAGTCATAAATTTTTCCTAGGTTATATAGTATATACATATGACATCAAAAGGGGTAACCTAATTGCATCTACTACCAAAACTAATCAAAACCTCAGTTTTTTCAATTGAAAATAATAACAATACAAGCTAGAATTTCAGAATGGAACAAAATATAGGTGATATCACATGTCTATTACTGGTATAAGACAATAAAAAATTTTATATGACAGATAATAAATTAGTACTGGTTCAGTATAAAGCTTTAAAAGAATATTGAGACTGGGTTAAGAGAAGAAAAAAAAAAACACCTCATAAGCCATTTAAGATGTTACTACCCAGTTCCAAGCCATTTTGTAGTCATATAAAAACTATGGGCCCAGCCAGGTACCAGTAGTACACATTTGTAATTGTAGTTACTTGGGAGGCTGAGAATGGGAAATAATCTGATTTGAAGTTAATCTGTATAGAAAAGTTTATGAGACACTTCTTTTCATCTAGCTGGGTACAGTGACATGGCTTGTCATCCCTAAGCTATGGGGGGAGCTAACACTAGGAAAACTATGGTTCCAGTCAGAACGTATCTAAAAACAAAAAAACAAAACAGGGCTAGAGGTTGTCCTCTCCCACCATATCCATGTCAGAGTTCAAAACCACAGGTCTAGAAAAATATTTTCTTAAAAACTTTTCATCTGGACATTTAACAAAATCTTAGATTTGTAAATTTATACATTCGTCTCACTGCTTGTTGAAAATTAAAACAGGGGCACCGGTGGCTCGTGTCTGTAATCCTAGCTACTCAGGAGGCTGAGATCTGAGGACTGCAGTTCAGTATCAGCCCAGACATGAAAGTCTGTGAGATTCTTATCTCCAATAAACCACTCAGACCACCAGAAGTCGCTGTGTGTCTCAAGTGGTAGAACATTAGCCTCAGGGACAAGGTCTAGGACCAGACTTCAAGCCCCAGGACCAATTAAAAAAAAAAAACTGCTTGGGACTGGGAAGTTGGCTCAGTGGTAGAGTGCTTGCCTTGCATGCATGAGGCCCTGGGTTCAATTCCTCAGTACTACATAAACAGAAAAAGCCAGAAGTGGTACTGTGGCTCAAGTGGTAGAGTGCTAGCCTTGAGCTGAAGAGCTGAGGGACAGTGCCCAGGCCCCACGACACAACAGAGAAAGAGAGGAGAGAGAGACCCCCAAAACAGTAGCTCTCCTGTAATTCTAGTTATTCAGGAGGCTGAGATCTGAGGGTTGAGTTCACGTACACACACACACACACACACACACACACACACTCTCACTCACTCACTCACTCTCCTGTAATTCTGGAAATGAAGCAGTGGAGAATGCCCTACTCTTGAGTTTAAGTCCAATACAAGCAAACAAAAGAAGGCTTTTGATCTGCACTATAAACATGTCATAAAATTGTTAAGACATGCCAGTGGCTCAGATCTGTAATCCTAGCTACTCAGGAGGGTGAGAAATGAGGATCATAACTGAAAGGCAGTCTAGGAAGAAAAGTTTATGAGACTCTTATCTCCAATTAGCCAGGAAAAAAAAAAAAGAAAGTGGAGCTTGGCTCAAGTGATACAGTGAGCCTTAAAGCAAAAAAGCTGAGGGACTGTGCCCAGGACCTATTCCAAAACAAAAGGGAGGCACATTTTTGAGCGCTTGATTTTAAAACTTCTTTTATTTGTTTTGTGTCAGTATTTTAACTTGTAATCCACCTCAGTTATTTTTGATCAAAGTTGTGCCACACCTCCATTCCACCTTTCAGCAGATAAGTCTCATGGACTTGTCTACCTGGGCTAGCTTCCAAATGCAATGAGCCACAAGCACCTTGCTGAATTTGACATCTTCTTATGTTTAAAAACACACCAAATGTAATAGATAAATACATTCATCCATTAATAGCAACATACTGAATATTATACATTTCAAGGATAATACTATTTTCTTCTCTACTACTATATCAATATATTGAAATTTGAGTATGTTATACTTCTGTAGTGCAAATTCTGCTCTCACCTGTAACAAGAGATGCTGTTTTATTCAAATGATTAAAAAAATACTTAAGTAAATGTAGAGATAAACTAAATCCAAATTTTGGTCTTTTATAAAGTATCTAGTACACATTTTTTCTTTAAAACTTAAAACTTGAAAATTGGTCAATCCTACCTTCAATTTGAATTCAAGCTGCGGCATGACAGATAATAATAAATGAGGATCTATAGCAAAAAGTTCCTGAATCAGATCAAAAACATGTTCTGACAAATCACTCACTGATGATCTTCCCAGCACCAGGACTTGATTGAAGAACTGTAAGAAATATTAAAAACAAAAGTATGTATCTCATTTAAAAACCTGACTTGTTCTCTATGAACATGCATTTAAATGATATAACATATGCAATGAAGAAAATGACACAGAATAGGCATTTGGATTTTTAATGTACAATAGGACAGCCATCTGATAGCAGAAAAGTAAACTTTCATATATTATCAAATCTTGACTACAACAGAAAAGATTTTTTTTTAATTGGACTATGGCTGACTTTCAAATAAGCACAAAATTGCTGAGATCAATTTTCATTAAAACAAAACCATTCAGACAACTTGTGTTCATTACAAATAATTCTGTAGAGGGCTGGGAAGGTGGCTCAGAAGTAGAGCGCTTGCCTTGCATGAATGAGGCCCTGGGTTCGATTCCTCAGCACCACATAAGCAGAAAAAGCCGGAAGTGGCACTGTGGTTCAAGTGCTAAAGCACTAGCCTTGAGCTGAAGAGCTGAGGGACAGTGCCCAGGCCCAGAGTTCAGGCCTCACCACGGGAAAAAAAAAAAAAAAAAAATCTGTAGAGATTATTTCTTTATAACAGTGAAAAAAATTATGCTCAATCTCTCAATCTCTACCATGTTATGTAAAAATGATTCTTTTATCATAAATTTAATGGATATGAGGTGGTGAAGTTGTGGTCTGTTGTTATTGTTAGCACCCAGAGAAAATGAACTACATTTTGATTATAAGACAAAAAGATTGATCACAGAAAAGCTAGCTGAGGGCTAGTGGCTGGTTCAAGTGGTACAGTGCCTACCCTGCAAACACTAGGCTCTGAGTTTAATCCCCAGGACCAGTAAGTTAATTAAAACAATTTTAAAGCCAGCTGGTAATTTTAAGTATTACAAAGAAAGAAGAGTACAACTTAAGAGCTATTTCCTTCTTGCCTTAGTAGTTAAGTACTAAATTTTTAAAAAATGTCACCAAGGAAGCTGTATGCAAAAAAGTATGCTATTTCCAGTATCCTAAAATATTCATTTGAAAAAGCAATATAAATGAAAGGAAAATATTCAGCCAGGTGGAAATACTCAGTGGCTTACAATCATCTCCCTAGCTACTCAGGAGGCTGAGATCTAAGGATCTGTAGTTCAAAGCCAGCCTGGGCAGACAAATTCTTATCTACAAGTAACCAGCAGAAAGTTAGAAGTGGAGATAAAGCCAAATGAGAGCATAAGGCCTAAATTCAAGTTCCAGTAAAGTAGAAAAGATTTGTATTTACTATTGGGCCCACAAAAAAATAAAACTGACAGGTTTAGCGAAACAGCCAAACACAAATATACACAGAATGCTACTAAGAACTATATGAAAAACTATTGATATTTCTGAAAGTTAAAAACAGTACATTCAAGGTTGAGAGATACTTTTCAATGCATAATCTTGTTACTATTTTTGCAATCATTTTACATAATAGTTTAGTGAGAAAATACCAATACTATGTCATTTAAATTAATATTTTATTATAAGATAAGCAATTCAATAATAAATGTTACACTGAAGAAGATAATTTGTAAAGGAAAACATTTTTTAAAAGCTTTAAGGCAAGGCAATAGGGAAATGGATTTTTATTAATTTTAAAGTCATAGCCATTCATATTATAAAATTAAAATGTAGAAATATATATGAATGAATGACCATGAAACACAACTCCATATTAACATAGTGGAACATTGAGTTTTATTTCTTTCCTCACAAATTATTTTTTACTTAATTTTTTTTAAAAACCAAAATTGTATTCTTAATTAAGTTTTTGTTTTCATTCTTCTATCAAGAAAGGGTCATACTGTGTAGACCAGAGTAGCCTGAAACCTGCTATGTAGCCCAGAGAGGCTTCTCAAACTCACAGTACTTCTGCCTCAGCCTCCCTCCCAAGTGCTGGGATTACAAGGGTATGCCACCATGTTGGCTCAATGAAATTTCAAGTATTTTTATACCACCTATTCAAGAAGAAATAGAAGGGTTTCAGAAAAACGATCTAGAAGACAGAAGAAATTGCGTATAGATACAGAACTTCAAAGGTAAAGACGCAGGAGAAATGGAAAGAGATTAACATATTTGGGAGATATTAAGTATAAACACAAAAGCCAAAGATGGAGTTGGAGACAAACCTTTTTAAATAACATCTACCACTTTAAAGCAACTCCAATAAAATTACAAAGTTATGCTGTCTTTTAAAAAATTGTAATCACATTCAGATATAAAAGCTTTTATATATCTTAATACAATGGTTCAGACAATAAATCTGAATGTGAATAGTTCTAATAAACATATATTTGATTAAGAATTACACAATTATAAAATATAGACAGATAATACATACATTAGCAATGCACGCCTCAATAGTCTGGACTGTCCTTTTCAACAAGACTTTTGCAAGGTCAAAGGATTGTTTATTTAAATTCTGAAAAATAACAAAAATGTGAAAAATTACAAAATAATTGAATTTATGAAACACCATCATAACACTACAGTCTCAAATCTATTAAAATATGAAAGATGAAACAAATACAAGGGAATTCCATTTAAGGTTTAACCATCTACTTTAGTCAGGGAGTCACAAATGCCTAAGTTGCTGAATGAACTTCAACAAATCCCAAAGTGAAATACAATATAAGACACTAATAAGTGGAATCCTCTATTAAATTTTGCTGTACTTAAAATAGACATAAGACTTCTTGGCTTTGTTTATATACTGATCAATATGAACTGGTAACTATATCCACGTATCCTAAATACCCTTGACCGGCGCCCCTCACCCCATTCTAACCCACCCATGTTAAGTACTTCATTGCCCAATAAATTTCTTTCTTTAAGAAGAGTAGATCTGAAAAGTGTTCTAAAAAAGGGTCTGGTCATTTGTTATCTGACAATGGTAACTGCTTAAATCTCAATATATCATAATCAATGTAAGGATCTAATAAAGACCATAACAATGACATATTCTTGATTTTTAAAAATTTATTGAAGAAATTATAAATTGAGGATTTGAACAGAAGGGGAAATGAATGGGGGAGAATAAAGGAAGGGCTGATACTGACCAAGAAGTACTGTATTCACAACACGACTTATGGAATTAACCCCTCTGGTACAACTAATAATTTTTTTTTTTTGGGTCCGGTCGTGGGGCCTGAACTCTGGGCCTGAGCGCTGTCCCTCAGCTCTTCAGCTCAAGGCTAGTGCTCTACCACTTGAGTCACAGTGCCACTTCCGGCTTTTTTCTTTTTGCTTATGTGGTGCTGAGGAATCGAACCCGGGCCTCAGGCATGCAAGGCAAGTGCTCTACCACTGAACCAACTTCCCAGCCCACAACTAATAATTTTTAAATGAGTATTTTATGCACAAAAAAGAAAAAAATTATTATCTTGAAAAACACACTAATATCTCTCTATACTATAAAGTTGTTTGTTTTGGTCGGTCATGGGGCCTGAACTCTGGGCCTAAGTGCTGTCCCTCAGCTCTTCAGCTCAATGCTAGCCCTCTACCACTAGAGCCATAGCACCACTTCTAGCTTTTTCTGCATATGTGGTGCTGAGGAATCAAAACCAGGGCCTCATGCATACGAGGCAAGCACTCTACCAATCTACCCAGCCCTATATTATAAAGTTTGGCACCACAGTGAAATTTATTCATTATGGTTTTGTACTTTTCTCAAAAAGTGGATATGAAACTATACAGTATAGACCAATTATCATAATTATCATCAAATTGTTTATGTAAAAGGCAATATAGTAATGATTTTAGGTTTTGTGGGTTATGGGCATACAATTCTGCTGCTATTGTTTGAAATCAGTCATAAAATAAAAAGATGCTCAGCCAGGAGCCAGTGGCTCATGCCTGTAATCCTAGCTACTCAGGAGGCTAAGATCTGAGGATCACAGTTCAACTAGCCTGGGCAGCAAAGTCTGTGAGACTCTCATCTCCAATAAACCACCAGAAAACAAGAAGTGGTAATATGACTCAAGTGGCACAGCGCTAGCCTTGAGCTGAACAGCTGAAGGACAGCACCCAGGCCCAGAGTTCAAGCCTCACAACCAACTGACTAAATAAATAAAGGGCTGGGAATATGGCTTAGTGGTTGAGTGCTTGCCTAACATGCATGAAGCCTTGCGTTAGATTCCTCAGCACCACATACACAGAAAAAGCCGCAAGTGGCACTGTGGCTCAAGTGGTAGAGCGCTAGCCTTAAGCAAAAGCAACTCAGGGACAGTGCCCAGGCCCTGAGTTCAAGACCAAGACTGGCACACACACCAAAAAAAAAAAAAAAAATTAAAGGAAACACTATGATTTTTCTTTCACATAACTGAATTGTGGGCATTACTACCCAGGACATGATTAAGTAAACAAGTGGTTTTTTAATACACTGCCAATGTGATAACAATCTTTCTCATCAATGACTAACTAGCAAATAGCATATACACTGAGGATACAGTGACCAATAAAGATTTACAATAGATGAGATGATTCATGTCAGGTGAAATGGAACAGGTAGTGAGAAATATATACCATACTAGTCAGAATGGTATGCAATTTGAACCTTATGAACTATTTCAGGAATTTCTCATTTAATGTTTGTGGACTATGGCTAACAGTAATATATGGTGCAGAAAAGCATAGAAATTATTGAGAGGACTTAACTGACTTACTATCAATTTTCATCTATTAGCAATAGCTTCCAAATTCTCACTCTAGGCTTTTATTCCACAGGCAAAAAAAAAAAAGGATAAACTAACTTAAAATTACCTTACTATTTTTCTCTTCTTTTTTAAATTGGTGGTCCTAGGATTTGACTTTGCGGGGCAAGTGTTCTACCACTTTGCCATGCTCCTAACCCTTTTTTTGCTTTAGTTGTTTTTCAGGTCAGGTCTTGCTTTTCTGCCTAGGATCTGAAACAATTCTCCTACCATGACACTGCTAAATATGTGAAGCTAGGATCACAGGTGTATTCCACCACATGCCTTTTTGGTTGGGCTAGCCTTGCACTGTTATTCCCTTAATTATTTGCTTCCCAAATAGCAGTGATTGTCAGTGTGAACCAATGTGATTAACCTGTGTTTCTTAATGAAGGGTACATTTCACACTAAAAAAAAAAAAAAAACATTATTCCAATTCCAAATTTCCCTTATTCTGCCCGAGGTATTTTTCTTTTTCTTATACTATCAAAAACATTCCCTAGCAGTCCGTGCCTATCACTCTATATACATGGGAACCTGAGATCAAAGACATAATGGATGAATACCAGCATGGACAGAAAAATCCAAAGGAGAGGGTATTTGATGAATAGGACCATAATCCCATCTATGCTGAGAAGCCTAGAACAAAAGAAATGTAGTCTAAGCCCAGGCTTTGGCTCAGACCCAAGCAGTAGGTCCTTTTTCAAATAACCAGTGAAAAAAGGGACTAGATATGGCTCACAGGTAGAGGAATTGCCAAACAAGCTGAAGTCTAAGGCCAGGGTCAAAATCTAGTTCAAATGGGCCCAGTGATTCATGCCTATAATCCTAGCTACTCAGGAGGCTGAGATCTGAGGATCATGGTTTAAAACCAGTCCAGGCAGCAAAGTCCCCATGAGACTCTTTTCTTCAATTAACCACTCAAAAACCAGAAGTGGAGCTATTGCTCATATGGTAGAGCACTAACCTTAACAAAAGAGCTCAGGGACAGCAACCAAGCCAAGTTCAAGCCCTATAACTAAAGAAAAAGTAAACCTAGTTCAGCTAACGACAACTAAAAAATCTTTTCTCCAACTACAGAATCATTTGAATTAATGAAGTATAAGCATTTAGATATGCAAAGAATTAAATATTAATCACATATTTCAGTAGCTAAGTACTATTAGAAGCACTGGGTAAATAACAAGTTCAGAGTAGGCTTGAGTAAATATCTCATAGGAAGTCACAGCAATGGGGATGAATGGGACAGAACTGAATCATCCTGTCCCCCCTCGCCACAACATTAATCATATACTCTCACTTCTGCCTATTCTTTTCCTGAAAGTTCCTAAGAAAACTGTGCAATAAGAGTTCTTAAAAAGAAGTTCCAATTCCCATTGTGTTTAGTGGTACATACCTGTAATATTATCATTTGGGAAACTAAGGTAAGAGGATTGCCAGTTTGAGAGCAGCCTGATAGCTACACAGTAAGGCCCTATCTTAAACTTTATTTTTTTTTTAATTTCTTTTTTTTTTTTTAATTTTTTATTTTTTGGGTCTGGTCATGGGGCCTGAACTCTGGGCCTGGGCGCTGTCCCTCAGCTCTTCAGCTCAAGGCAAGCTCTACCACTTGAGCCACAGTGCCACTTCCGGCTTTTTTCTTTTTGCTTATGTGGTGCTGAGGAATCGAACCCAAGGCCTCATGCATGCAAAGCGAGCGCTCTACCACTGAGCCACCTTCCCAGCCCCCTATCTTAAACTTTAAAAGAGCAAAGAAATCCAATCTCTCAGATTCCATATCTGTGTTACAAATAAAGAAAGACAACAGCCCAACCATTATAATTTATGGGTTGTTTGTGAGTGATGAATACAAAACACTTCTTATCCCCATAAAATAAGTAGCACTTAGCTGAATGAAAAAAAATTTTTTTTTTGTTCCGGTTGTGGGGCCTGAACTCTGGGCCTGGGCACTGTCCCTCAGCTTTTCACCTCAAGGCTAGTGATCTACACCATTTGAACCACAGCAACACTTCCGGCTTTTTTCTTTTTGCTTATGTGGTGCTGAGGAATCGAACCCAGTACCTCATGCAGGTGAGGCAAACGCTCTACCACTGAGCCACCTTCCCAGCCCCCTGAATGAAAATCTTACACAATATTAATGAGCATATCTTCTAAAAATAATAGCTATAAAATACTGTGGAAAATGGCAGTAGGAAAAATTACATAGGATTGCAAAGAGCCAAAACTAATCATTGATTTGTGTGTCTAGCATTACCTTTAAAAATTAATCAATATCTTCAAACTATACAGACCTTATGTGCAGGTATGAGGTTAATAAGAATGGAGTCCAATAATTCTTGAGTAACTCCATCTCCTTCCATGATGATAGAACTCATCAAATCTAGCATGTGCATTTGTACCTTCTTATTGTGGCTATTGCTAAAAAATAAAAAGAAAAGAAAAAGATAATAATTTAAGTATATAAAAAATATAAATTTGACAATTCCACTAATTATTTTTCCTTTTTGTGTGAGACAGAGTCTAATTATGTAGCCCAAGTTGGTCTTGAATTTGTGATCCTCTGTCTCAGTCATCCAAGTGCTAAGACTACAGAAAAATAATGCTATATCAGCTACATTTCCCAGTTTTAACAACAATCACAGATATAAAAAGGATTCTTCATTTGAGAACTATGCTCACAATGTCAAATTAGGCTATAAAGAAGTTTTTGCTTCTATCTTGAGTACTACAGTAGCTGTAAGATAGTATTGAAAAGTATTTCACAAAAACAAAGAGTACTTTAATTTCTAATGAAGTCCACATCCTCTACAATTTACTGATCTCTACTCCCTAACACACACACAAGAGAAAAAAAGATATTAAATGATGTCTTGGGTGAATGCATGACTCAAGAGGTAGGTAGAGAATATTTGCCTCTCAAGCACTAGAGCCCTCAGTTCAAAATCTACATCTCAAAAAATGGAAAAGAAAGAAATGGTGTCATCTATACTAATATTATAAATATGCAACAAGGATTAAGACTCAGGAATCACATAGAACTCTTTAGAATTAACTTGATTATCATGAATAACTCAGCCATTTGGTATTCAGTGATAATACACAAAGCTATAGTGAGTACTGGTGGCTCACCCATGTAATCCTAGCTATTCCGGAGGCTAATATCTGAGGATTTGGGTTCAAACCCAGCCTAGGCAGCAAAGTCCAAGAAATTCTTATTGTTATTAATTAACCACCAAAAGGTAGATATGAAGATGCAATGCTAGTGGTAAAATACCAGCCTTTAAATAAAAAGCACCAAGATCCCTGTAGTACTGGCCCTAGAATTGTCACACACACAAATAGCCCCATACCAACAACAACAACAAAAATCCAACTTACAAGTTGGTAAGAAAATTGTCACTGTTAGAAACTTACAAGTTTGAGAAAGTCAACTTTTCACTTCTTCACCAAAATATCTTGTATATTTTACAAAATACCAAGATTATGAAGTATCAACTAGAAAGTTCTATACATGAAAGAGGATGATAAGAGACTTTCAGTCTGATAAAACAAGAAAAGGCAAAGCAAAACAAAAATCTATGTACTTGACTCTCTGATCCATATTTATTTGAGGGTAAGAAGATAGGAGAAAAGACAAAAAATTTCAGATTTCAGAAACCTCTCAATCAGTAACTTTTCTAACAAGATGCAGGAACATTAACAGAGGCAAGATTGTAACTGAAACCAAAAACTGGGGAAAACATATCCAACAGCCTTTGGAAGGAAAAACAAAACCAGATCATTTTCAAGTCAATTGCCTAGAAAAAGTGTAGGCTGTATGGGCAAGAGGCCATCAAAGGGCCTGATGATTCCCCAGAGTATAGATTAGAATTTGCAAGTAGTGTATCAGAAGAGATAGAAATACTGACAGAGGGGCTGGGAAGGTGGCTCAGTGGTAGAGCGCTTGCCTTGCATGCTCAAGGCCCTGGGTTCTATTCCTCAGCACCACATAAGCAAAAAAAGGGAAAAAAAAAAGCCAGAAGTGGCGCCGGACCAAAATAAAAAAAAAAAAAAAAGAACTGACATAAAAAAAAAAAAAAAAGAAATACTGACAGAGTAAGCTCAAAGAATCTTCAAGTGTTTAATGATCAGCTTGATGATCACACAAGCAAATGCCTTGACTTTAAGAACCCACTGAATGGAGAAGAGGGAATAATCCCTGGAACTTTAATCGAATAATATAATTTAGTATAAACCCACATATCCTAAAAGCTTAATAAGCATACACACAGACTGGGAAGGTAGCTCAGCAGTAGAGTGCTTACCTTGCATGCATGTGGGGTTTTGTTGTTTGTTTTTTGATGCCAGTACTCTGCCTTGAACTCAGGGCCTCATGCTTTTGGTAGCTTTTTAGTTCAAGGCTGAAAATCTACTATGTGAGCCACAGCGCACTTCCAGCTTTTTTTGTTGTTGTTGGTTGGTTGTGGGGCTTGAATTCAGGTTTTGGGCGCTTTCCCTGAGCCTCTTTGTGCTCTTTGTGCTCAAGGCTACCACTCTACCACTTGAGCTACTTCTGGTTTTTGAATGGCTAGTTGAAAGTAAGAGTCTAATGGGGACTTTTCTGCCCGGTCTGGCTTTGAACTGCAAACCTCAGATCTCAGACTCCTGAGTAGTTAGGATTACCACTGGTGCCCAGCCTCTCTAGCATTTTTTTGGGGGGGTGGGGCAGGTCGGGGAGAGGTCAGTTGTACCAGCTGATCTCTGGGCCTAGGCGCCATACCTGAGCTCTTCAGCTCAAGGTGAACACTTTACCATTTGAGCCACAGTGCCACTTCTGGTTTTCAGGTAGTTAATTGAAGATAAGGGTCACAGACTTTCCTGCCAGGGCTGGTTTTAAACTGAGATCTTCAGATCTCAGCCTCCTGAGTAGCTAGGATTACAGGCGTGAGCCACTGGTTCTGTGTTATTCTTAATGTTACCCTCCACTCTCCTTCCCCCCATCCCCAGCTACTTTTCAGATATTTTAAATTTATTTTTAGGCAATTATGTATCATAAATAGTATTTCTTCCTTTTTGTGTATATGCGTATTTATTTTTGGTCTGTCATGTGGCCTGAACTTGGCCTGGGCACTGTCCCTGAGCTCTTCAGCTCAAGGCTAGTGATCTACCATTTGAGCCACAGCAACACTTGCAGCTTTTTCTGCTTATGTGGTGCCGAGGAATCGAACCCAGGGAGGGAATTTTCAAACATACAAAAAATAAGAGAATTCATCACCAGCAGACCTACACTACCAGAAATGAAAACATGGGCTGGGAAGTTGGCTCAGCTTGCCTCACATGCATGAGGCCCTGGGTTCAATTCTTCTGCACCACATAAGCAGAAAAAAGGCAGAAGCTGCACTGTGGCTCAAGTGGTAGGGCACTAGCCTTGAGCTGAAGAGCTGAGGGACAGCACCCAGGCCCAGAGTTCAGCCCCCAGGAACAACCAAAAAAAAAAGGAAATATTAAAGGAAGTACTCCAGACTAAAAAAATCTACAAGATATAAATGTGCATATGAGTAAAAAAAACAAAGCATTTTGTGAAGATATAATATGTGTCTGCCGGGTGCTACTCAGGAGGCTGAGATCTGAGGATCACAGTTCAAGAGCCAGCCAGGGCAGGAAGGTCAGTGAGACTTTTATCTCCATTTAACTACCTGAAAACCAGAAGTGGTGCTGTGGCTCAAGTGGTAGAGCACTTGCCTTGAACAGAAGAACTCAGGGACAGTGAGAAAGAAAAAGAAAAGAGAGGGAGGGAGGGAGGGAGGGAGGGAGGGGGAGGGAGGGAGAGAGGAAATGAGATGTGTCAAGTACAAATCAGTAAGTTCTTTTAAAAGACTTTTTTTTTCTGGGGGGTAGGGGCCGCCAGTCATAGAACTCAGGGCCTGAGTGCTGTCTCTGAGCTCTTTGTTTGTTTTTGACTGTGGATTTTTGTTTTGTTTTGTTGTCTTTTTGTTTTTGTTATTGCACTTGTTAGGCAGACACTTTACCACTATGCTACATCCTAGCCTCTGAGCTCTTTTTGCTCAAAGCTAATGCTCTACCACTTTGAGTCAGAGCTCCACTTTCAGTTTTTGAATTGTTAATTGGAGATACAAATCTCAAGGGGATTTTCCTGCCCAAGCTGGCTTTGAACTGCTATCCTCAGATCTCAGCCTCCTAAGTAGCTAGGATTACAGGCGTGAGTCACTGGCACCCGGCTGCTAATTTTTTTTTTTTTGGTCGGTCGTGGGGCTTGAACTCTGGGCCTGGGCACTGTCCCTCAGCTCTTCAGCTCAAGGCGAGCGCTCTACCACTTGAGCTACAGCGCCACTTCCGGTTTTCTGGTGGTTTATTGGAGATAGGAGTCTCATGGTGGTCTCTCCTGCCCGGGCTGGCTTTGAACCGCGATCCTCAGATCTCAGCCTCCTGAGTCGCTAGGAGCACCCGGCTCCAGCTGCTAATTATTTTAATGAGAGCAACATTAACAGTCTTCAGACTCATTAACTAAAAAAAATTTTTTTAAAGCCAAGGACTAAAGCCGGGCACCAGTGGCTAATGCCTGTAATCCTAGCTACTCAGGAGGCTGAGATGTGAGGATGGTGATTCAAAGCCAGCCAAGTCAGGAACATCTGTGAGACTCTTATTGCCGAGGACTAGCTGCTCACACCTGTAATCCTATCTACTGAGGAGGCTGATATTTGGAGGATCACAGTTTTGAGGCCACCTTAGACAGAAAAGTTTACAAGATCCCTTCTCACTTGAAAGTTGGACACACAAGCACATGCCTGTAATCCTAGCTTTGATGAGAAGCCTAAAATAGGGGAATTGTAACCCAAGCATACATTAGGGAAGGGAGACTTATCTCAAAAATAATCAGTACAGCCAGAGGCGCACAACCTAAAATCATAGCCTACTCAGGAAGCTAAAATCTAAGGATCAAGGTTAAAAACCAGACTAGGCAGGAAAGTCCCAAAGACTTTTATCTTAAATTAACCACCAAAAACCAGGGAGTAAAACTGTGTCAAGTGGTAGAGCACTAGCTTTGAATTTAAAAAAAAAAAAAAAAGCTCAGGATAGTGCCCAGACTCTTAATTCAAGCTCAAGGAGTGCACAAAAACAAAACAACAAAAACAGCATGGAAGAGAGCTTGAGGAGTGGCTCGGAGGAAGACACATGCTTTACAAGGTCCTGAGTTCAAACCATAGTGCCAGCCCACCCAACCCAAGCCCCACCCCCAAAAAAGTGATTTTGTGATTAAATAGTCCCAAAATCAGAGTAACTACAGAATGAGAGGTGGATTTAAATGCATAGTGAGAAAGGGGTAGAACAGTAATATTAAAGCTATTATTGAAAGAATTTTTTTAAGCCTCCAAAAATGAGGTAGAAGAACAATGGACATAAATTGTTCTCACTGGGGTACATACATCCCATGACAACGCTGTCCTTATCATCCAAATACAGAGCTTATTTGACCAATCATTACATCTAAGGATTTACCTATGTTTCTGGCTTGACCAATCAAACCAAAGGCTTAAAATTTTCTTTTGCAGTGAGGTTTGCATTTTCATGTACTTCTATATAGATTTTTTTTTTGTCGTCGTGGGGCTTGAACTCTGGGCCTGGGCGTTGTCCCTCAGTTATTCAACTCAAGGCGAGCGCTCTACCACTTGAGCTACAGCGCCACTTTTCATGTACTTCTAAAACCTAGTCAGTGTATTAAAATGCTGGCCTGGCCTGCTAGGGAAAATGAAAAATAAGTGACTTAGTTGTACTATTACATTAGCCAACTTCCAATGTCCTAAGAAAGGACTGCAAACATGAGGAAGAATCCAGAACAGACATAAACAACCGTTAACCAAAAACATAGGCTAAATAAAATGGTAGCTGTCTTAACACTATCAAGTTGTAGGGCTCTGATGGTTTCCTCTTTCTTTTTCCTATCTTTTTTTTTCTTTTCTTTCCTTTTTTTTTTACATTTTTTCCTCAGGCCAGCCTTAGACTGAAATGCTTCCACTCTGCCTGCCAAATAGCTGAGATTATGGATTTTAATTACCAAATCCATCCTAATTAGGGTTTCCTATTAACTTTGCTAGGGCCAGCCTTGAATTCCTATCCTTCTATCTATACCTTCCAAGGAGCTGGGATTGTAGGTATGATTTTTATTCTGTTTTGTTATACTGTAGAAGTTAACTAATACAAAAATTTACTTATTCTATCATTTAGTCTAATGGCCTACTGGTAGTCAAATCCTACCAAATGTTGTTTGTTTTTTCCCATTCAATCTTTTGCATAGATTTCTGTCTTAAAAATAGGCCTGTCTGATTCTTTACTGTTTATTCTAGGTTAATATTAATTTTATATTCGATTCAGTTTTTATTTAAAAAATCCACAGAAAACTGTTCTCCATAATGCAAATCATTACCTATATATGGCTAATGAACACTTGGAAGTATGGTCAGAGCCATTTATTAAAAGGATAATTAAGCCCTAGCTACTCAGGAGGCTGAGATCTGAGGACTGCGGTTCAAAGCTAGCCAGGGCAGGAAAAGCCATAAGACTCTTTATCTCCAATAAACCACTAGAAAACCAGAAGTGGTGCTGTGACTCAATTAGTAGAGCACTAGCCTTGAACTGAAGAGCTGAGGGACAGCATCCAGACCCAGAGTTCAAGCCTCACGACTGTCAAAAACAAAACAACAACAACAAAAGGATAATTAGCCAGGTGCTGGTGGCTCATGCCTGCAGTCCTAAATTACTCAGGAGGCTGAGATTTGAGGATCATGGTTAGGAAACAGCCTGGGCAGAAAAGTCCCCTTGAGACTCTTATCTCTATTTAATTAACCATTAAAAAACCAGAAGTGGCACTGTGGCTCAAAGTAATAGAGCATTAGCTTTGAGCAAGAGGAGAGCTTAGAGATAGCACCCAGGCCCTAAGTTCAAGCCTCACAATTGACCCAAAAAAAGGATAATTCTTTTGGACATAGTGGAATTGATAAAGTATTAAAATAAATTGCATGTTCTTCCTACTTGTCTGAATTTTGCCATTAGAAATTTAAAATTTATGTAAGACATTGTTTACATATTTAAATGCTTTATAATACAACTCATTAAGATGCTTTTTTTTGTCCTTTGTAGGGCTTGAACTCAGGGTCTAGTTGCTGCCCCTGAGCTCTTCTGCTCGAAGTTAGCCCAGCAAAAGCCTTTCTTAACTATAAGAAAAATACAAAACATCATTTTGAGATCTTTTGTCCAGTAGCCTGTTCGAAGCCAACACTCTCATGCTCTATTACTTTCCCTATTTCTATGAAACAAAAGCTGACTTAAGCAGTGTTTTATAATTTTTCCCCAATCTCTAAATGGGAATGGAAGAACTTTAGTTCTCCCAAGGAAAGGCCATAGAAAATTATCAAAACAAACCAGATAATCAAGTGCAGATGATGAGAAACATACATTTGGTACATGCCATGTACCAAATGGTTACTTTATACATGGATAAAGGTATCAAAATCAGTATGCTTAAGGATTTGGATATCATGATTCTCATCACTAATGGTACACAGATCACTTGTGATTTCTTCTCATAATTTGCTATTTCATGACTTAAAATCTCACATCATTCATGTTCCAACTGTATGTTTGTTACTGCTTCTACTGCTAAGTTTTTTCAAAACAAGGGCTCTGCTTAATACTTCTCTACTATTTCACAGCAACCAATAAATTTATATTGTAAATTCAAAACAGCAGTATAATGGCAAAGATAACTTATTTTCCTCTTCATATTACCACTTCTAAAGAAACAATCTTTTAAGTCTAAAAATTCTTCAAACACAAATTAGAGCATAAGAGACTTCAATATATACAGAAGAAAAAAAAAATGATTTGAAAAGAAACTTACTTGATTACTGAGAAGAGAGTCCTAAAAAGCTGGATAAAAATTTCATTGCAATCTTCCAATTCAAAGCAGATGTTATACGACTTAACCCAAGCTAAATTCTTAAAATGAATAAATAAAAATAATTAATCTCATATGTACAGAATAGCAACACAAAACTAAACTTATTAGTAAATTTAAATTTTTATCACTAGTAAAATTTAACTTTTAGAATTACGAGTTTTTATTAGAGCCTATAATGACTCAATGTATAATAGTCTATATTTAAAAAGACATACACTTGATAGCATGAACTTTTTTCAGATTTATTAACAGAGAGGTTGATAAGCATACATAATATACATAAACAGAATGTTAAGGAGCACTGAAAATCTATTTTAGATCAGAAAAGAATAAAAACAAATAAGATACAATGAAAACTGGTTTCAAACTAATCTGCATCCATTAGAATACATTTATCTTTTCAAACTATAAGGAACAAGGTAAGATTTTCTTTTCCTTGTAAATGTAAAAGGTTTTTCATTAGGTGGCTTTCTATAAAATAATGGTTCATTTAATATCATAAATATAAAAATTTGCTAGTATGCAGAACTGACATTTATGAAATAAAGTGTTAGGATTTTTTACCTCTAATAAATAAAAGTATCTATTAAATTGTGGGCTCTTTGTATCCTCCAAACCTTTTAATTGTCTGGTAATAAACAAAAATATGTCCTGTTAAAAAAAATAAAATATATTAATTTAGACATACTTATTATTCTTTCACATCACATTGTCTCTATATTCTTTATATATTTGTTACAAAAAACAAATAAAACTCTCCTTTAACTGAATAACTTAAAACTACGCAAGGCCCATTATTCAAAATGACTGGGAAATAAGAAGCAAAAATAAAGATGGTTAGTTATACTCATCTTTAGCCTTTCTAAGAACCCAGCGTCTGCGTCTTATTCAACTGTATTACTTCTACTACAGAACTTCCACATCACTCAGTATCTTCACCTTGCATGTCAAACAACTATCTTCATTTTTAAGAAGCTGAATAAGCCAATCCACTATTTCCTACATATAAATATCAATTTTCATGACCCAGTTTTGAATTTAATGTGCATCTACAAAGATGTAAACAACTAGTACAAGAGTGATGATCGTGCTTGATAAGACAATGCTTGATAAGAAATGTACTCATTATCTTGCCCATGTAATTGTAACCCCTCTGTACAGTATTTTCACAAAAAAAAAAAAAAAGAGTGATGATTGTGCTTTAATTCTTTTGTTGCTGCTTTTATTTTGAGGCAGGATCTGAGTCGGTAGCCTAGTCTGGCCTCACATTCTCAATCCTCTAGCCTCAGTCAATAACATTCTACGACTATAGATGTCAGCTACCACCCCGAGACTTCATTTCTAGTTGAACTTTCTTTAGAACTTTTAATTCAAAATAGTACCAACATGTTACAATATGAGTTTTGCACTACTATAATTCTCCCTTATACAGAGGGAATATACTCCGAGATTACCAGCAGATGCCTGAGACTAGACACTAATAAACCCTATCGTAATTTTTGTTTTGGGTTTTTTTTTTTTCTTTTTTGCCAGTTTGGAGGCCTGAACTCAGGGCCTGGGCATTTTCCCTAAGCTTCTTTTGCTAAAGGATAGCACTCTATCACTTGAGCCACAGCGCCACTTATGGCTTTTTCTGTTTATGTAGTACTGAGGAATCGAACCCAGGACCTTCATGAATGCTAGGCAAGCACTCTACCCCTAACTCACATTCCCAGCCCCCTACAATAGTTTTTTTTTTAACACTATATACACACACCTATGAGAGCTGAATATATAAATTAGACATGGTAAGGGATTAACATTAATAATGAAATAAAACAAAACAATACGTTATAAAAGTTTGCATCTGGAGAACATTAAAATACGGTGACAGTTGATAACTGAGACAGCCATTAAGTGACTAATGGTCTGGCAGCATATACAGTGTAATACAGGATAGAGGGATGATTCTTGTCTCAGGAAAGATGAAGCAGAAGAGTATAATATTTCACTATTCTCTGCAAAACAGTGAGATTTTGACATTTCTGAATCATTTATTTCTAGAATTTTCCATTTACTACTTTTGACCATAGTCAGCTGTAAGTGACTAAAACTCTGAAAGAGAAACTATGGATGGGGAGGGAACCTACAGCATTTACCAGAAAGTTGTCCAAAAGAGTAAAACTTTCCAAGAATAATTGATTTTATTATTCATATTAACTTTTCATGTTTTTGTATTAATTTTCATTTTAGTTTTCATATTATTGAAATGAAATCAGTTCAAGGGAGCTATATAAATGTTCCTGAAACATTTTGAATGAAGGCAGAATCACCAATATAAGCACATAGTTTTGCTTGTTAAGTAACCTATAGGGGAATATAGCTATTTGAACGTATAAATTCTAGTACAGCACAGTTTTAAAAACCCTCATTAATCTACTATTAATATGTAGGCTTTGTGATGGACTAGCTTAAAGGATAACTTTTACTTTTCTTTTTTTTTTTGGGTCCGGTCATGGGGTTTGAACTCTGGGCCTGGGCGCTGTCCCTCAGCTCTTCAGCTCAAGGCTAGCGCTATACCACTTGAGCCACAGCGCCACTTCCGGCTTTTTTCTTTTTGCTTATGTGGTGCTGAGGAATCGAACCCAGGGCCTCGAGCATGCAAGGCAAGTGCTCTACCACTGAGCCACCTTCCCAGCCCCTAATTTTTACTTTTCAAAAGCTCAGAGTAACACTATTTTTGGAGACATGAAAATTGTCTAATAATACAATAATTAATATAATAATAAAACTAATAATACACTCAAAATTATAAGAATATAAAACATGCTCATAAAGATAAACTATACAACAAAAATAAGTCAATTTTTACTTTTGTAAAAGTTTGTAAACATTGTATTTACCTTAAGTTTATCATGGGAAGTATATGGAGCTTCTGGGGCATATATGCGAAATATGTCAGCCAAACAACAAGCTACAAGGAGACGTACATCTTTATTAGGGTTCCTGAGGAAGAATTCAGATGCAAGATGCAAGGCTAGTGGGAGATACTGCTGCTTTTCATCTTCTGAATCTTGATCCATATCCATAAAAGTTTTTACTACCATCTGTAAAAATATATAAATGAACAATATATGATCAACTATGGTACTTAGTGATGACTAGGAAAGCAATTTGATTTTTTAAAAACAAATCTGGGCCGGGCTCCAGTGGCTCACATCTGTAATCCTAGCTACTCAGGAGGCTGAGATTTGAGGATTGTGGTTCAAAGCCAGCCCCAGTAGCAAAGTCCAGGAGACTCTTATCTCCAATTAAACACTAGAAAACTTGAAGTAGTGCTGCGGCTCAAGTGTCAAGAGTGCTCACCTTGAGCTGAGGAGCTCAGGGACAGGGCTCAAGCCCACACAGAATTCAAGCCCCACGATCGACCAAAAAAACAACAACAAATCTTGGATAATGGCTCATGCCTGTAATCATAGCTACTTGGGAGGCTGAAATCTGAAGATAATGATTCAGCCCAGGCTAGAAAACCCATGAGACTCTTATCTCCAATAAACACTCAGAAAAAGCCAAAAGTAGCTGGTGGCTCAAGTAGCAGTAGTAAGCAAAAGAAGCTCAGGGATAGCAGCCAGTCCCTCAATATAAGCCCCAAGATCAACAAACAGACACACAAAAAGGGGAGGAGATGGAAATGATGATATAGCTCAATGGTACTATGTATAAAAATAGTCCTGAGTTCCATTCAAACTAGATCTTTAAAAAAAAATTGTTAGTGTTATTACAGAGGTGATGTAAGGGGTGAGGGGGGTGGGGTTTCCAGTTACATAAGTTAGGGAAAGTCAAACTAGATTTTTAAAACTAACTATAAATTTTATATTCATTCATTCCTGGGAATCAAAACCAGGGTCGTATACACGCTAGCAAAATGCTCTACAGCTGAGCTACATCTGTAGCACCAAAGTAAAGACTGTTAATAGATTCATTTATTCATAAATTCATTTACTCAGAATGTCTTACTATGGTACAAAAGCTTGCCTACACTGATCCCAAGTGATCCTTCTCCCTTCCATCTTCTGAATAGTTTAGACTACAAGTTTATGTTATCAAATCCAGCTTTCATTACTAATTTTATATCTAGCTCAAGTAAAACTAATTTTATATCTAGCTTTAGCTGAGCGCCAGTGCCTCACACCTGTAATCCCAGATACTCAAGAGGCTGAGATCTGAAGATAGCAGTTCAAAGCCAGCCTGGGCAGGAAAGTCTGTGAGACTCTTATCTCCAATAAACCACTCAGAAAACTGGAAGTGGTGCTGTGGCTCAAGTGGTAGAGCACTAGCCTTGAGCTGAAGAGGTTAGGGACAGAGCTCAGGTCCAGAGTTCAAGCCCCACAAGACAAAAAATAAAAAGGTCTGGGCCTTATATGTACAATCAAACTGACTTGATATTTTACATCAATTGCTTCTTTTATATTTTATAATCAAAGTTGCTTTATGTGCTTTTGTAAAAACTGCTACTTTAACATGATTATGATATCACAAAATAAAGCCATGTTTAAATGTTTCCATATAGCTGTAATTATAAACTTTCCTATTATTTATGTCTATAAAACAAGTGTGTTTTATTTTTCATTTGAAATGCTACAACCGAGCCTAAGGCTTTGTGTATATTTTAAGCCACATACCCTTAGCCTCGCATATGCATTTTGTGATTTCAATAAAGACAAATACATGAAAGAAAAATTCTCGATTTTTTTTTGGGGGGGTCCGGTCGTGGGACCTGAACTATGGGCCTGGGCGCTGTCCCTTAGCTATTCAGCTCCAGGCTAATGCTCTACCACTTGAGCCACAGTGCCATTTCTGGCTTTTTTCTTTTTGCTTATGTGGTGCTGAGGAATCAAACCCAGGGCCTCATGCATGCAAGGCAAGCACTCTACCACTGAGCCACCTTCCCAGCCCCAAATTCTCTATTTCTTAACCCTAGAAAATAATCACTATTCACATTTGTTTCTTGATGCTGGCCTGTTTTCTCTGCAAATAATTATTTATTCATGTATCAAATAATTAGAAACCAATTATACAAAAGGAAAAGCTAATTAAACTGACCGCCCTCTAGCAAGAATAGAAAGAAAAAAGATAAGTCACAAATTACTAACATCAGAAATAAAAAAGGAGATGTATTATATACATTAGGTAGAAACACTACCTGTCACATAAAATACAACAATCTGCATATTCCTATTCCCACAAAAAAAACTGAATATAAGTGAAATAAATAAAATCTTCAGCAACAGTATTCACTGGTGAAAAGGTCCAAAATTCACAATAGATAAGTATACTAGAAGCTATTCCATTCATGACAGCAAGCCCCTCTCTGTCATTCTGTTCTTATTAAGCTACAGATCTTGGTGTAGAAATACTGTCTGTGGTTAGTAAAAAGTGAAGTTAGGATTTTTTAAGCTTTATATATTCTTCTACTAACATTTTAATAGATAGTTATCTGATTGGAAGAAAAGAATAAATACATAGACAACATCTGGAATATAGGAATACTAAGAATAAAGACAGATGGGTGCAGGTGACTCACACTATAAATCCTACCAACTCAGAAGATTGTGATCTGAGGCTCACCATTTGAAGCCAATACAGGTTGAAGCCAATTCCAGAGACAAATCTGTAAGACCCTCATCTTCAATTAACCAGCAGAAAGCTGGAACTAGCAGCATGGCTCAAGTGGTAGAAGACTATCCATGAACAAAAAAGCCAAGCAAAACTTTGAAGCCCTGAGAGTTCAAGCCCCAGTACTGGTAAAAGGAAAAATAAATAAGAAGCAAAAGAGATGTTAAGAAATAAAAGACAATCGTAACAATCACAACAGTAGAACTAAGGAGGTTACCTGAAATCACAGTATTTTTACAATAAAAACTATGTACAAATTTTTTATAATCTTTATTGTTTTTCTTAAAGCATATTTTTTTTTGTTTTTGTTTTTGTCGGTCATGGGGCCTGAACTCAGGGGCTGGGCACTGTCCCTCAGCTCAAGGCTAGTACTCTACCACTTGAGCCACAGTGCCACTTCCAACTTTTTTTTATTTTTCTGCTTATGTGGTACTGAGGAATGGAACCCAGGGCCTCATGCATGCAAGGCAAGCACTCTACACTGAGCCACCTTCCCAGCCCTAAAAAATTAAAAAAAAAAAAAAAAAAAAAAAAGACATTCAACAGGGGCTGGGAAGGCGACTCAGTGTAGAGCACTTGCCTTGCACACATGAGGCCCTGGGTCGATTCCTCAGTACCACATAAGCAGAAAAAGAAGCCGGAAGTGGCACTGTGGCTCAAGTGCTAGAGCACTAACCTGGAGCTGAAGAGCTGAGGGACAGCGCCCAAGCCTAGAGTTCAGGCCCCACAACTGACTAAAAAAAAAAAAAAAAAAAAAGGCATTCAACAGTCTTTACTTCCCCAAGCTGGCTTTGAACTGTGATCCTCATAGCTCATCCTCCTGAGTAGCTAGGATTATGGGCATGAATCACCCGTGACCAGATCTTTTCTCTTTTTTTTGGGGGGGGGAAGCATTCCTGGGGTTTGAACTGAGGACCTGGACGCTGTTCCAGGGCCTCTTGTGCTCAACGCTACCCTCTACCACTTGAGCCACAGTGCCACTTCCCGTTTTTCTGAGTTGGAGATAAGAGTCTCACAGATTTTCCTGCCAGGGTTGGCTTCAAACTTCTCAGACTTCAGCCTCCTCAGTAGCTAAGATTACAGCATGAGCCATTGGCGCTCAGCTCTTTCCTACTTTTTACAAATAGAAAACAAGACATATTTTTGTCATCTATTACTATATAACATTAAACAGTAAACATTTATCACAGATTTTCAGAATAAATAACTGGAAGGCTGCCTGGGCTGGGTGGGTTCAGCTTGGAATTTCTCATAAGGTCGCACTTGGGTGCAGTTGTCTGAAGTTTGACAGAGCCTGCAGGATATTTTTTTTGGGGGGGGAGGTCCAGTCATGGGGCCTGAACTCTGGGCCTGGGCGCTGTCCCTCAGCTCTTTAACTCAAGGCTAGGGCTCTGCCACTTGAGCCACAGCACCACTTCTGGCTTTTTTGGCTTATGTGGTGCTGAGGGATTGAACCCAGGGCCTCATGCATGCGAGGCAAGCGCTCTACCACTGAGCCACCTTCCCAGCCCCGCCTGCAGGATATTTTGATGGAAACTCTTTCATAAGGTTCTAGTTCAGTACTAACTATTGTAAAAATACCTCAATTAGATACTATCTTTTTAGACAGAAGAATGAAATGCCCTTTATGGAAAGCCTTCCTCCAGCAGGTTATCTAAGACAGCAAGTCCTAAGTGACAATCTTTAGGACTTAACCTCAAAAGGAATGTAAAGTGGGCTGGGAAGGTGGCTCAGTGGTAGAGTGCTTGCTTTGCATGCAAGAGGCCCTGGGTTTGATTCCTCAGCACCACATAAGCAGAAAAAGCTGGAGGTGGCACTGTGGCTCAAGTGGTAGAGTGCTAACCTTGAGCTAAAGAGCTGAGGGACAGCGCCCCCATGACCAACAACAACAACCAAAGGCATACAAAGTGATTTCTACAGTAGCTTATTAGTTGCTAATAGATTTATTCATGTGAAAAAGGACTACACAATCGAGGAAACACAAGGAAACAAGGATCATTTGGGGGCTATCTTTGGACTATACCATACCATCTCCCCTACTATTTATACCATTGTAGTCCTCTCCCATGATTTAGGATTGATCAAAGACACAATAGGCAGCCTAATATAAAAGGCAGTTTGATAAGTATTTATACATTGTGACTTCATTGGTATCAGAACCCAGTATTAGGATCCTAGGAAACCCAGACCAAAAAACAAACAAACAAACAAAAAAAAAACATGGGCAGAGCCCTGAAGATGAGCCATTACACAGAACATATAGAAGAGAATGGATGCCCTAAATAAACACCAATCTAAACTTAGCACCAAGACACCAAATGGAATGGGAACCTCCACACAGTAAATTTACAAAAGTATAAGATGACTGGGAAATATTTCAGATATACAATGCTTGCCTAGCATATACAGGTCCTATAAAATAAAGAAATGA